GTGTGAGTGAGTGAGTGAGTGAGTGAGTGAGTGTGTGTGTGTGTGTGTGTGTGTGTCTAAAAACACACTTACACTGCTTGCTTTCTTTGTGAATCAATGTAGTTCAGGAGCTACACTTGAAATTTTAATAGATCAAGTCTGTGAATTATGAATGTAGACGGGAGCAGAGACTCGCTCTCTCCATCACATGACTGCTGCTTCCAGAACCTTCTCGCTGTTGTGTTTTAGACTACATGAGAGAAAGCTAGCATTACAATCCTTCTTTTGACTTGCATTTTCTGCACTGAACACATCCAGAAACGTAAAAGCACAACACCACAAAAAAAACAAGAGTATCTCTACAAAAACAAACCAAGTTTGCTAAAGACGAAGGCAAAATTTGAACTATCTGAACCATTTTTCATCAATGTACATTCAGTATTTCATTCAATTTCCAACATTTCTCTCAATTAACAAAAACTGTGTAAAACATTTCAGATTAATGCAAGACAAAAATAGTCAACTTTGTGTTGCAAAAGCTGTTTTTACTGACTTTGTCCACCATCGTTCTGTTCAGATATTTTACCTTTAGTACAAATAGCATATTACTTAAGTTTACATTTTGTATTGCATCTATCAATATTTATACTGTGTAAACAAGATGCCGCTTGTTTACAGTATCTGCCAATATAGATATATCTTTTTATACTTGTAAATATGGAGAACAAAACCTGCAAAAATTAAAATAAAAAAATAATTAATTGTAATATTTAAATTTTACACACTTCAGTAATATTAAATCGTAATATTACACACTTCAACCTGTAAAAACACACCAAAACACACAACATCACAACCGTAACACAATGACAGTGTGTCCTGCTTTCCAAAACACACACACACACACACAACAAAATATACACGCACTACATCAAAATTGCATATAATAGTACATACCCTGACAAACGCTATAGAGAAAAGAAACAAAACAGATTGTACGATCACATGAAAAGCTGTGGATTTTAGATAGAACAGACATGATACACACACATCCTCATCAACACACACACACACACACACACACAGATGTGAGGAGTGTTTTCTTACCGAGGAGTAGAGGAAACCCTCTCCATTCATGGCCATGTAGAGTCCGGCCTTCACGGCCTGTATCGCCACGACCCGCAAACCCACCGGGATCAGATTAAACAGAGCTGAAACACACCAACAGCAACATCTGACTGCTCCGATGTCACTCTTTTAGAGCTCAGGAGACTCACTGGAGCTCCTAGTTATGTTCCATATAGAGACAATTTTGTCTCTAAATTTTCTCCTCTGTGCACCATTCAGAATTGAATTGAGAATTCCTTTTAAATTAATGAATTTGCACTGAGGTAGCAAAAAGGATGCAGAATTACAATTCAAATTTAAATGTAACAAAGCTAAATTAAAATTAATTGAAATTTTAAAAAATCAGATAGACAATAGACAGAACGACAGAACGACAGAACGATAGATAGAACGATAGATAGATAGAATGATAGATAGAACGATAGATAGATAGATAGATAGATAGAATGATTAGAACGATAGATAGATAGATAGATAGATAGATAGATAGATTAGAACGATAGAACGATAGAACGATAGATAGATAGAAAACAGAATCCAAAATTACATTCAAATTTGAATGTAACAAAGCAAAATTTAAATTTGAAATTCAAAAAATTCAGATAGAACAACAGAACGACAGATAGACGATAGTTAATTTCAGGGTCTGCTGCTTCTCAAAGGGCAGATGTTTCAGATGCAACAAAAGAATATTCAAAGGAGAAACGAGGGATGGAATGGAAAAGAGCGAGAAATTAATCTACTGAGTGTCAGAGGAAGGTTTCAAACACTCGTAACGCTGCTGCTGATTCAGTTCTAGTCCGTAAAAATCGACAGGAGGGAAAAAACCCAGAGGAGAGTAAAAACAGGAGCAGCGGAGGAGTGCAGCAGGATAACGGAGGGATGGAGGGGGAGGAGAGATCAGAGAACCAGAACAAGGGATGAGTGTGTTTGTGTGGGATTGAGAGCAGAATATGAGAGAGAATTCATGTGAACAGAGATATTCATGTGATGAGGAACATACTCTACACAACACATGAACACAAGCTCAATTCACAATCCACAACGCAAGTACATTATCGGTCAAAAGTTTGGAATGATTATGATTTTTTTTTTTTATTATCAATGTTGAAAACAGCTATTTTTGTGAAAATGCTGTGATACATTGTGATACACTACCATTCAATTTTTCTGAAAGAAATTAATACTTATATTCATCAAGGATGCATTAAATTGATCAGAAGTGACAGTAAAGACATTTAGAATGTTAATAAAAGATTTCTATCTCAAATAAAAGCTGTTCTTTTGAACTTTCTATTCATCTGTGAATCCTGAAAGATAAAATGTATCACAGTTTTCACATAAATATGAAGCAGCACAACTGTTTTCAACATTGATAATAATCAGAAATGTT